GGCCTCGATGGATTGAAACACGCGATTAAAGTGAAGAGAAACTAAAAGTCTTCAAGGAAGACGTGATCTTAAAATATGAACGTCTGAGCTTTTAACTTTCAACTTTTCGATTTTGCGAGTGATTGAGGTATTGTGTGTAGAAAGGGCATTTCTTAGTTGCGGTGTTTCAAAATGTCCTAGGCTATAATTTTTAATGTAGAGAGAAAACTAAATTCGGCGAATTTTCTGAAATTTTTAGTTTTCAGCACTGCAAAATCATAAAGAATATTCAGTAGGGTTACAACAAATTACATGCATTATTATAATGGTTGAAACGTTAGCGGCGAAAGGAAAATGATTTTGACGCATGATATTCAGTTCCCAAAAAGAGCACCGTGGTCAAAAATAATGAACTTTTTTACCTTACAATATGTTAATAAGATAAAACCCAGGGTCGGATTAAGGGGGTGGCCACATGGGCCGCGGCCCATGGCGGCAAAATTAGGGGGCGGCAAATTTTGCAATTTTTTAAATGCAGGTACAAAAAAATCGGATTCAGAAAAAAATTACAAACAAGGAAAGGTGACAAAATCTCTCATTTCCTGAGAGTTCATTAATTTCTAATTTTGTCGTATTTCGGTGATACGAAAGACTGCGCACCTTTAATTAGTTGAGTAGGAGAGAAACCAAACACGTGATTTGGCCTGGAGCGGCGCGGCGCAAAGAGAAATGATGACTAGTTCTTGAGATGAAAAAGAGAAGCCCTCGACGCGGCGGTCGGCATGTAACACATATTAGCGCCTACGAGACTGCACGAATTCTTCACGCATTGCGTCAAACACAGTACGGTCAACAGCGGTCGGCGCGGCGTGAAACGCACAGTGCCTACAAGACTACATGAATACTTCACGCATTGCGTCAAGTGGTAATCGCGGCGCGGCGGCGAAAGTTAAAATCATTAAACCACATTTATGTTTGTTCTTTTTTAATTTTTTAGTTCATTTCTCACAAATGAAAGGCCTTGTCCCCGCAGAGATAGGTTTACGGAACTGAACTTTTGCGCGAAGTTTCGTGAACTTTTGCTAGTAGTGTTGACAGGGCTTACGCAAAAAATGTGTTCAACACGAGTGAACGCGTCTTATGCACCCTTCTCCCTCCGGCACGTTCACTTGATGGTTTTTATTGATGTTTCAAAATGAATGAGAAAAGGGCGGCAAAATACAGGCGGCCCATGGGCGGCAAGTAGGTAAATCCGGCCATGATAAAACCGGTCGAAATTACGATTGTCGAATTTCTACTTTGGAGCAGATTGAACCATTGTGCGATGGAGGCACGAAACTGAAACACGACGCAGACCTAACAGGTGGTGGCGTAAATCTTTCCTAGGGAATTCACATGCTTCCGAATCCGAATCTGGAGCCGAGAAAAAAGACCTGGAGGGCTGTGGGACATTAACTGGAACAGTCGGGAATTAGGGAGGGCCCAGCCCAGAAGCAGACCCACGAGAAGGGGGGTGGAGAGGAGGCGACAAAATGCAGCCACTTCGATGTGACATCTCGAGGGTCAAAAAACACTCCATCCGCGTAATTAATGGTGACCGGGGCATGGTTGCCAAAAGTCCGATATGCGGTGACTGATTATTTTATTAAACTGGGTCAAAAGACTGAGGTCGAAATTAAACGACAAACCTGGAAACCACCTGGACTTGAAATCTCCAGACTTAAATTGAAATGACATATGTATGCTAGAGGCAGCTTCAAGAGTATTCCAAGTCAAAAGGCATCAAAAAGTCTCTGAAATATTGGTTAAGCGCTCTACAAAACTGCCTCGGCCAGTTTCCTTTCAGGTCTTTGTTTGCATTGGAATCCTCATACTTGAATTTCAAGGAAACTTTAAGGGAAGATTATCTGGAGGAACTTTTAAAATTTTGGCCCGAGAAGCTCTAAAAACTCAGAAAAATTACTTCTCTCTCTCTCCCTCAAGGAAGGAATTCAAAGTTACTAAGCCCTGCTTCTATCCCGTGTCTCCTAAACGCCTTTCTCCAAAATCAATTTTCAGAGTATGGTTGCATTTGAAGGGATTAAAAACCTCGTCGAATGCTGACACAATTCCATATTTTCACACATGCCTAACTTTGCGGAACTTTGAATCACTGCAATGGACATAGATGGTTTCGCACTTCGACCATCGATGTAGAAATATCGAACCGATTATTTTCCAAACCTCGTAAGCGCCAATCTCTATTTCGGTGGTTGAAGAGTTGTTTCTTTTGTTTTCTCTAGTATCATCAATCTTGTTTGATTTCAAAATAGTCCTCTAAAAGCACACACATATTTTGAAAATCGAAAATTATCAACAAAGCGAATGAAACGGGTATTCTTGTTTTTCTCGCAATCGCAATATTGGCGCTTACACGATTTGGAAAATAATCTGTTCGATTGCTAAGAGTAGCCCAATGCATTTCTCATCGTATAGGTTAGGTAACCGACCGCAAAGCTCGCGGGCTTGGAATATCGCAGCACGCCATGTGAGCGGGGGGCCCGGGGGGCACGCCGCGCCGTCGGGGGGCACAGGGGGGGAGGTGGGATCTTTACTCCTCCGTTTAGACCCTCGTGCTTTCATTGTTTCGGCTCCGGAGCGAGCGTCGACCGTAATATGTTTACATTCCACACGTATTATTATACTTTTTATTCGCGTAGCCCGCACCCCGCCTCCACGGCGGGCGCGGCGGGGAGGGGCCCCTTTTCGGCCGCGGCCAAGTTTTCGCTTTCTTCTGCCGGGCGCTTAGCGGTGCATCGTCCACATTTGTCATCGTTAACTGAATAAATGGAGGCTGGGCCGCCAGACGCGACCGACGGCTACGGCGACGTCCCGACCGGCGACGTAGTGAAATGTAGTGAGGAGAAGCCACACACACCGACGCGAAACGAGTTGCTATTCTTGGCCACCGGGAGCGCTGCCCCCCCCCCC